ACCACCACTACCACCACCACTGCCACCACCACTGCCACCATCACCACTGCCACCATCACCACCACACACTGCCACCACCACCACCACTGCCACCACCACTGCCACCACAACTACCACCACCACCACCACTGCCACCATCACCACTGCCACCATCACCACCACCACTGCCACCACCACTACCACCACCACTGCCACCACCACCACTGCACAATAGTGGTGTAAACCATACTATTTATTCCTTGTTTTACATAAACAATGTCCTTACTGTTGTGTATATTACGCTGTGATAAAAAAAATATTTCTCCGGACTTCATGCTAAGTTACGAAGGTTAAGTAAAGAGTTGGCGATAATTCAAGAATGTCTATTAAAGTAACGGTACACAAGTTGGGCCGTAAATATGTAAATAAGAGAAGCAAGTTTCTGGGTTAAGGAAGAGATTACCCAGACTCCCTCGCCTCGAGGCAAGGATCAAAACATCACTCTGTATCTGGTCTTCCTTTATCGAGAATCTTTCGGGATATCATCACAAATAACACTGATATACACTAGTACATACAGTGGTACCTCGAGTTTCGAACAGCTCCCAAAGCAAACAATTATGTAAGTATATTTTTGTAAGTGCTTCTGTAAGTGTATTTTTGTAAGTACTTCTGTAAGTGTACTTTTGGGGGTCTGAAACAGACTAATCTAATTTACATTATTCCATATGGGAACAAATTCGTTCAGTATCGGCACTCATACAGCCTTCTGGAACGAATTAAGTTCGTAACTCGAGGTACGACTGTATATGGTATTTAATACCGACAAGATGAAGAATTACACACAAGTGTCTGGGTATCTTCACATTACGTCCTTGTATTGATAACGCCACTGGTTGGTGAATCGTCTACAAATAAAGATAATACCCAGGTGTTGCACATGTATCTTTTTTCAGGTGTCTCGTAGCCCAGGTATTTGCTTGTACTCTACGAACACATCATTAGAAAAGGACACTTGTGTACTGTTACCTGAAGGGTGTTTTCGAGAGTCACCGTCCTCGCGTTCGGTCCCAAACCAGAACTTCAGGTGGGTCAGGACCTAATCAACCAGGTTGTTACTGCTGGCCGTACGCAGTTTGGCGTACGAACCACAGCACTGCTGATCAGGAACTGACTTGAACGAATCCAGCTCCACCTTGAACAGGACAAGTTCAGGACTTTAATTTCCATTAATAAACGCTCTGAACTGCACACAAGGGTCCCTTTTTCACAGTTTGTCGGCAACACCACAACAGTTATAACCCAAGTTGTGAGAGTTTGATAGTGTCTGGACGGAGCAACACTCCCTCACAGCAACAATGTCACGCAGCTGCCATGACAACACAGCTGCCATGACAACACAGCTGCCATGACAACACAGCTGCCATGACAATACAGCTGCCATGACAACACAGCTGCTTGCCTCTTTCATTATTATCCTTAGTGCTCGCTAAAGCCACTTTATGTATACATACTTGCTCTCATTGATACATGTATCCATACTAGCTCTCGTTGATACATGCATCCATACTTGCTCCCGTTGATACATGCATCCATACTTGCTCTCATTGATACATGTATCCATACTAGCTCTCATTGATACATGCATCCATACTTGCTCCCGTTGATACATGCATCCATACTTGCTCTCATTGATACATGTATCCATACTAGCTCTCATTGATACATGCATCCATACTTGCTCCCGTTGATACATGTATCCATACTAGCTCTCATTGATACATGTATACATACTATCTCTCATTGATACATGTATCTATACTTGCTCTCATTGATACATGCATCCATACTTGCTCCCCTTGATACATGCATCCATACTAGCTCTCATTGATACATGTATACATACTATCTCTCATTGATACATGTATCTATACTTGCTCTCATTGATACATGTATCCATACTAGCTCTCGTTGATACATGCATCCATACTTGCTCTCATTTATACATGTATCCATACTTGCTCTCATTTATACATGTATCCATACTTGCTCTCATTTATACATGTATCCATACTTGCTCTCATTGATACATGTATCCATACTTGCTCTCGTTGATACATGTCTCCATACTAGCTCTCATTGATACATGTATTCTTACTGACTCGTTGATACATGTATACATACTATCTCTCATTGATACATGTATACATACTATCTCTCATTGATACATGTATACATACTATCTCTCATTGATACATGTATACATACTTGGTCATACTGATACGTGTATATATACTTGATCATACTGATACATGTATACATACTAGATATATTCTGATACATGTATACGTACTAGATCATATTCTGGTACATGTATAAAACTAGGCCATATGCTGATACATGTATACATACTACCTCTTATACTCTGATACAGGTCATAGTGTGGGTTGAGCAGCTCCAGGGGGGAAAGAGTGAAGAGATTTGCACAACCATACGTGGATGTAATCAGCTGACTGACGCTCAGGTCAACACGAACACAATAAAAAAGTATAATGTTGTTGATGGTATAAGATAAAAACGAGTTGATAAATAAGAAACGTGAAACACTTTGGTATATTTATTGCCGAAACGTTTCGCTCGCGCAACTGTTCTCTACAGTTCAGATTGTTCTGGAGGGAAGGAGACTGTTGTGTAGGAGGAACCTGGCGGAGATAACGATGTTGTACACTGTATCTTATTCAACAATCAAAAAGTGTGAGAACACACAAGCAAAATTTATGAGGAACGAATGACAGCTTTGAATGTTCCATTAGGCCTGTTGTAGTGTTCCTCCAGTCTTATGTTCTGATGTTCTAAACAGAAATGTTAAAACTCAACAACGAAGGCACCTTCTTGGAAAGAAACAATGGAAGAGCGACGAGAATGGTTTTTAACACCAGGTCCATCACAGTGCTGCTACAACATAATGTACAACCACGGGATGCATGTCTTCAAAAACATGCATTATACTGACCACTTACGCGAAGAGTGGATGAAGAGAAGCCTACAAGAATACCGTAGCTGGAACACCTCAAGATGTTAGGTTCTGTTGTAGATTCACCGGTATAATCGCCTGGTCCGGGCCTTTTCCAAGCGGTAGCCCGACCTTGGCTCCCTGTCGAGGGTGTGTCTCAGAACAATGTCTGCCATGGGTACAAGTACCTCCTTGTCTTCTGGGACACCTGAAGAGATAACCCGTATTTAGGAGAGGAAAACTATGGCGACTTTTACGCCCATCCTGAACCATTGTCAAGTCACAAACAAACGAAAAAGCAGAGGAAATCAGAGGAGCTTAGCAGCATCCCTACGAAATCAGAATATTTCACGCGGCGCGTACTCTCGTTTTATTAAGGATGTCACAAATTCGGAGATGTAAAAAATAAAAATCCAACTCTCGTGGGTACGAACGACTGGAAGAGCAAGTCAGAAAATAAATTTTACTGCAACAAAGCCCTTATTAAGAAATTTAATGATGTGGGAGACTTGTTATTACTAGAGACATGATGTAAACTCCTGCATGTTCACCAGAGCCGTAGGGAATAACCAGAGATCTCAAGTTTTTTTGCGAAATAGACAATATTAACAAAAGTAGAAGTCTGTTCAAGGAAGATGACTTATTTCTAAACACAGTGACAAGAGAACGCTGGAAAACATTATAGAAGGAAGAACAAATTTTGTAAAGAAGGACTGAAAGATTTAACACTCAGTCAGGGAAGGACTGGATTATTATTATTATTATTATTATTATTATTATTATTATTGTTATTATTATTATTATTATTATTATTTATTATTATTATTATTATTATTATTATTATTATTATTATTATATTAATTATTATTATTATTATTATCATTGGTTATCATAATCATTATCATCATTATGAAGAAGTTCTAAACCCGTCAGAATCATACAGCACCATGGAAATACCAGAAAGTAGGAGGTAGTTTTAGTTAGTTTTATTAAGATCTCTTGACTGTAATCAAACGACCCACTTAAAGAGAGAGAGAAAAGTACACAAGTGTGAGATGTATGAGTGTGAGGCGCATGAGTGTGAGGCGCATGAGTGTGAGGCGCATGAGTGTGAGGCGCATGAGTGTGAGGCGCATGAGTGTGAGGCGCATGAGTGCGAGGAATGAGTGTGAGGCGCATGAGTGTGAGGCGCATGAGTGTGAGGCGCATGAGTGTGAGGCGCATGAGTGTGAGGCGCATGAGTGTGAGGCGCATGAGTGTGAGGCGCATGAGTGTGAGGCGCATGAGTGCGAGGAATGAGTGTGAGGCGCATGAGTGTGAGGCGCATGAGTGTGAGGCGCATGAGTGTGAGGCGCATGAGTGAGGCGCATGAGTGTGAGGCGCATGAGTGTGAGACGCATGAGTGTGAGGCGCATGAGTGTGAGGCGCATGAGTGCGAGGAATGAGTGTGAGGCGCATGAGTGTGAGGCGCATGAGTGTGAGGCGCATGAGTGTGAGGCGCATGAGTGTGAGGCGCATGAGTGCGAGGAATGAGTGTGAGGCGCATGAGTGTGAGGTGCATGAGTGTGAGGCGCATGAGTGTGAGACGCATGAGTGTGAGGCGCATGAGTGTGAGGCGCATGAGTGTGAGGCGCATGAGTGTGAGGCGCATGAGTGCGAGGAATGAGTGTGAGGCGCATGAGTGCGAGGAATGAGTGTGAGGCGCATGAGTGTGAGGCGCATGAGTGTGAGAGCCACATTCTGTCTGGTACTCAATTTGAGCCAAAATTAAAACTAAAAAAAAAAAAAACCCATCTAGCAGATCAGTCCAAATGGTTCATTTTTTTCATACAAATGCACATAGTATATTCCCCCCGCCCCCCCCAAATGGAACTAATTAACATCAGACATTCTCAACATTCCCAGATATTAGCGCTCTCGAGCGAACCATTTATAAATTTTATCAAACATATAAAAATATAATCGGTATTGACTAGCTACCATATTTTCTCGCAGTGGCAGCACTTACTGGAGGATGTTACTGTGATTCTGCTCGTCAATCTGAAGGTAAACAAAAAAAAAGGTGATTAGTACGACTCTGTAGGTCGAAAATGGATGTGCGTGTCGAAAATCGATGCATCGAGATCATGTAGCAAGGAGGTAAATGATTACTAAATCTGGTTGTGAATATCATGGAGTCACTGATAGACTGTGGAATAGATCACCACTTTTGTAGATGAATGGTTCAGAGAACCGACATGTTGATAAATTAGACACATGTGCAACTCTTGGGTATCTTTATTGAGGAAACGTTTCGCCACACAGTGGCTTCATCAGTCCATACAAAGGAGAATCTTGAAGAACAGAAGATAATGAGGTAATCAGTCCCTCAACCTTGAGTCGATGTGTTCAGTCCATCAATCTTGAGTAGATTGATGGACTGACCACATCGACTCAAGGTTGAGGGACTGATTACCTCATTCTCCTCCTGTTCTTCAAGATTCTCCTTTGTATGGACTAATGAAGCCACTGTGTGGCGAAACGTTTCCTCAATAAAGATACCCAAGAGTTGCACATGTGTCTAATTTATCAACATATCACCATTTGTTTACAGTTCAAGAAATAAGTTAAGGGAAATATTTCGCCACGAGTGACTTCATCGGTCCTGACTGAGTCTCGATATACTAGTAACTTTAACTAAGTCGAGGTGTTGTATGTAAACAATTTAGAAAATATGATAGACTTAAAAAAAAAAACAAGATTCTATCTAAACAAGAACCACACTAAGAAAAAACTGACAAAACCAAACCATCTTATATGAGAAAATATTTTTTTATAGATTATAAAAGAAATCATGATACATGAAAAATTTAAAATGGGTAGCCCTTAAAATTATTCTCAGTGGAAGTGATCACACAGAGTAAACCAAAGAAAGATATGCAAATGTAAACGAGAGTGAGAAAGGGGAACTATTATTGCATTCACGGGGAAGCACTAAACCCGTAGAGGTTGCACCGGGGGTCTGGGGAATAGGATGCAATCAGGTTCCATCCATATATATATATATATATATATATATTATATATATATATATATATATATATATATATATATATATATATATATATATATATATATATATATATATATATATATATATATATATATATCTGCTATCCTATTCTCCGTCTTACTCTTAATTCTTTCAATTATAACTCTACCATACACTTTACCAGGTACACTCAACAGACTTATCCCCCTATAATTTTTGCACTCTCTTTTATCCCCTTTGCCTTTATACAAAGGAACTATGCATGCTCTCTGCCAATCCCTAGGTACCTTACCCTCTTCCATACATTTATTAAATAATTGCACCAACCACTCCAAAACTATATCCCCACCTGCTTTTAACATTTCTATCTTTATCCCATCAATCCCGGCTGCCTTACCCCCTTTCATTTTACCTACTGCCTCACGAACTTCCCCCACACTCACAACTGGCTCTTCCAGTTGAGGAAGAGCCAGTTGTGAGTGTGGGGGAAGTTCGTGAGGCAGTAGGTAAAATGAAAGGGGGTAAGGCAGCCGGATTGATGGGATAAAGATAGAAATGTTTAAAAGCAGGTGGGGATATAGTTTTGGAGTGGTTGGTGCAATTATTTAATAAATGTATGGAAGAGGGTAAGGTACCTAGGGATTGGCAGAGAGCATGCATAGTTCCTTTGTATAAAGGCAAAGGGGATAAAAGAGAGTGCAAAAATTATAGGGGGATAAGTCTGTTGAGTGTACCTGGTAAAGTGTATGGTAGAGTTATAATTGAAAGAATTAAGAGTAAGACGGAGAATAGGATAGCAGATGAACAAGGAGGCTTTAGGAAAGTAGGGGGTGTGTGGACCAGGTGTTTACAGTGAAACATATAAGTGAACAGTATTTAGATAAGGCTAAAGAGGTCTTTGTGGCATTTATGGATTTGGAAAAGGCGTATGACAGGGTGGATAGGGGGCAATGTGGCAGATGTTGCAAGTGTATGGTGTAGGAGGTAGGTTACTGAAAGCAGTGAAGAGTTTTTTACGAGGATAGTGAGGCTCAAGTTAGAGTATGTAGGAAAGAGGGAAATTTTTTCCCAGTAAAAGTAGGCCTTAGACAAGGATGTGTGATGTCACCGTGGTTGTTTAATATATTTATAGATGGGGTTGTAAGAGAAGTAAATGCGAGGGTCTTGGCAAGAGGCGTGGAGTTAAAAGATAAAGAATCACACACAAAGTGGGAGTTGTCACAGCTGCTCTTTGCCGATGACACTGTGCTCTTGGGAGATTCTGAAGAGAAGTTGCAGAGATTGGTGGATGAATTTGGTAGGGTGTGCAAAAGAAGAAAATTAAAGGTGAATACAGGAAAGAGTAAGGTTATGAGGATAACAAAAAGATTAGGTGATGAAAGATTGAATATCAGATTGGAGGAGAGAGTATGGAGGAGGTGAACGTATTCAGATATTTGGGAGTGGACGTGTCAGCGGATGGGTCTATGAAAGATGAGGTGAATCATAGAATTGATGAGGGAAAAAGAGTGAGTGGTGCACTTAGGAGTCTGTGGAGACAAAGAACTTTGTCCTTGGAGGCAAAGAGGGGAATGTATGAGAGTATAGTTTTACCAACGCTCTTATATGGGTGTGAAGCGTGGGTGATGAATGTTGCAGCGAGGAGAAGGCTGGAGGCAGTGGAGATGTCATGTCTGAGGGCAATGTGTGGTGTGAATATAATGCAGAGAATTCGTAGTTTGGAAGTTAGGAGGAGGTGCGGGATTACCAAAACTGTTGTCCAGAGGGCTGAGGAAGGGTTGTTGAGGTGGTTCGGACATGTAGAGAGAATGGAGCGAAACAGAATGACTTCAAGAGTGTATCAGTCTGTAGTGGAAGGAAGGCGGGGTAGGGGTCGGCCTAGGAAGGGTTGGAGGGAGGGGGTAAAGGAGGTTTTGTGTGCGAGGGGCTTGGACTTCCAGCAGGCATGCGTGAGCGTGTTTGATAGGAGTGAATGGAGACAAATGGTTTTTAATACTTGACGTGCTGTTGGAGTGTGAGCAAAGTAAACATTTATGAAGGGATTCAGGGAAACCGGCAGGCCGGACTTGAGTCCTGGAGATGGGAAGTACAGTGCCTGCACTCTGAAGGAGGGGTGTTAATGTTGCAGTTTAAAAACTGTAGTGTAAAGCACCCTTCTGGCAAGACAGTGATGGAGTGAATGATGGTGAAAGTTTTTCTTTTTCGGGCCACCCTGCCTTGGTGGGAATCGGCCGGTGTGATAATAATAATAATAATATATATATCTTTCTTCTTTCAACACACCGGCCGTATCCCACCAAGGCAGGGTGGCCCAAAAGGAAAAACGAAAGTTTCTCCTTTTACATTTAGTAATATATACAGGAGAAGGGGTTACTAGCCTCTTGCTCCCGGCATTTTAGTTGCCTCTTACAACACGCATGGCTTACGGAGGAAGAATTCTATTCCACTTCCCCATGGAGATAAGAGGAAATAAACAAGAACAAAAACTAGAAAGAAAATAGAAGAAAACCCAGAGGGGTGTGTATATATATGCTTGAACATGTATGTGTAGTGTGACCTAAGTGTAAGTAGAAGTAGCAAGATGTACCTGAAATCTTGCATGTTTATGAGACAGAAAAATGGACACCAGCAATCCTACCATCATGTAAAACAATTACAGGCTTCCGTTTTACACTCAGCAGGACGGTAGTACCTCCCTGGGCGGTTGCTGTCTACCAACCTACTACCTAGAATATATATATATATATATATATATATATATATATATATATATATATATATATATATATAATATATATATATATATATATATATATATATATATATTTATATATACATAAACTTTGATAAATGTGCGTTCTAAGAGATTTAGATGTCAGATTTTGCCTCTGAAGCTCCTAGTTGACTGTCCATCCTGTATCCATCCTGTGGACGGAAGAGTGTATAGATATACAAAAGGCCGCAAAAGAGTGAATTATTGTTATTATTATTAAAGATTCGCCGATATTCTCCCGGCCCGGGCCTTTTCCAAGTGGTTGCCCGGCGTTGACTCCCTGTTTAGGGAGTGTCTGAGACCTAAGTCTCCCATGGAAGGAGGCACAAGTACCCCCTCATCTTTGGGACCAACTGTCCTCAGGCCTAGCTTCTCGTAGGGAGAAGCTAAGCCTCTCTGGTCTGCCAAGGGGGCTAATGGGAATGACAGGATTGTGAGCTGCAAGCTTGGGCTCAGGCACCTACCCTGCCCTAGAAGGGCTGGGCATGGTGTCGATTGAAAAACAGTGAATGAATACACAGTAGTATATAAATACACAAAAGGCTGCAAAAGGGTTAACAGGAGAATATATGTGTATATATGTGTATATACATGTATATATGTTAGCAGTATAAGTTTCTTCTGTCATAAAGAGCCAGCAAGTTGCTAAATATTTTCCTTACTTAATTAAAGTTTTCAACATTTATATTACTTATAAATGAATTAATATCAAGACTTCTGAAAAGTTCAATTAAAATAGAAAACGATTTTTTTTCGAATTGCTATCGCACACTATCGTAATTATTCTATAATTACACATTACTGTGTATTTACAAGAGAAACTTGTGCAGTGAAAAATCAGTATGTATTAAGCGAGGTGTTGCTATGACACCAGCTGAGTCCAACACTATATAATCTAAGATTTCCTACATTGTGCTAGCTAAGGCAAAGTCTCCTGCCAGCTGTTGCTTCTGTTATATTGTCAACACTGTGAGAGGAGGTGGAGGCGTGATAGTTCACTATTGACTCTTCCATTCTGTTCCACCAACGTCTATTATGTTGCTCATTAACTACTTTCTCTTCCACTAAACACAACATTATTGGTGGCTCATGCGTACATCACACAAATTAAAAATTGTTAAGTGTTTAATGGTTTTATTTGGTAGGGCTGAAAGCGGGTGGTTCAATGATAAACTTCTTCGGAGGCTTCTTACTTTATTGTTAAGTCGTGGTGGGTACACAGGCTTGTGTGTTGTGCCCATGGCCCGGGCAGGGCCATCCCACGAGAGAGAGCTAGGAGTAGGCCTTGTGTCTTCCTGCTAGGCCGCTGTGTGAGTGAGAGCGTGACAAGGACCGGCAGGCTGGCGTGCCCACCGAGAGGCCTGGTTACAGAGGGCAGCATCTGAGTGGCGCGAAATATGAACTAAGCTGGCAGACAGCATAGGCTGTCTGTGCAGACAGTACAGGCTGTCTACATAAGATAATCCAGAAATATCATGAATCATTCACCATACAGTAGACATCTGCGAGCTCGTAACATTACTTGATTGCCAAACTGTAGTTGGCATCTCTCCTCTCTACACATCTCTCACACACAGCCTTCCTTACTATTTTACTATAGTGGTACTATTTACTTAAGGGTTACTACATTCTCAAATGCATTCACCTTTAGTAAATATTTGTTTGACAGAAATGTGGTGAGTTTTAATATGTTAAGTACAGTTTGGTAGGAAAATGTGGCTTTTAGTTTTGATACCGATGTTGACAACTCGATAGCCGTCAGTGGCTCTATAAACCTTAACACCAGTAAGACACCAGCTGCTCCTGCCTCCCGTATTATTGTACATTAATATTTATTGTGTGTTTTGACATATTAAATGCCTTAATCTTTGGTACTTCTCATACTAAAGTGATAACGATACTCTTCATACCAGAGTTATAAGGTTATACCTCATACCAAAGTCTTATGGTTATACCTCATACCAAAGTCCAAAGGTTATGCTTCATGCCAGAGTTATAAGGTTATGCCTCATACCAAAGTCCTATGGTTATACCTCATACCAAAGTCCTATGGTTATACCTCATACCAAAGTCCTATGGTTATACCTCATACCAAAGTCCTATGGTTATACCTCATACCAAAGTCCTATGGTTATACCTCATACCAAAGTCCTATGGTTATACCTCATACCAAAGTCCTATGGTTATACCTCATACCAAAGTCTTATGGTTATACCTCATACCAAAGTCCTATGGTTATACCTCATACCAAAGTCCTATGGTTATACCTCATACCAAAGTCCTATGGTTATACCCCATACCAAAGTCTTATGGTTATACCTCATACCAAAGTCCTATGGTTATACCTCATACCAAAGTCGTATGGTTATACCTCATACCAAAGTCTTATGGTTATACCTCATACCAAAGTCCTATTGTTATACCTCATACCAAAGTCCTATGGTTATACCTCATACCAAAGTCGTATGGTTATACCCCATACCAAAGTCTTATGGTTATACCTCATACCAAAGTCCTATGGTTATACCTCATACCAAAGTCCTATGGTTATACCTCATACCAAAGTCGTATGGTTATACCCATACCAAAGTCTTATGGTTATACCTCATACCAAAGTCCTATGGTTATACCTCATACCAAAGTCCTATGGTTATACCTCATACCAAAGTCCTATGGTTATACCTCATACCAAAGTCGTATGGTTATATTTCGACTTTATATATCTTTGGTTAGACCTCATTTATATTATTCTGCTCACATCTAAATCTCCATATTAGAGGAAATTATACAGAGAAGGATGACAATATTGATTCCATGTATTAGAATCCACTCCTACGACAACAGGCTGAAGGTACTGAAGTTGTACTCTCTGGAAAGGCGTAGAATTTGGGGAGATAGGATTGATGTATATAAATGGAAAACAGGAATAAAACAAAGGGATATATATAACGTGTTGAAAATATCTAACCAAGACAGGACTCGCAGCAGTGAAATCAAGTTGGAGAAATTTAGATTTAGAAAGGATGTTGGGAAATACTTTTTTGACAATAAAATTTTAGATGAGTAGAATAAACTCCCAGATAGTGTCACTGAGGCAAGACCTTTAAGTAGCTTTAAATATAGGTTGCACGGGTACATGTGTGGTTGTGGGTGGGTGTGAATTAGACCTGCCTAACATGGCCTGTAGGCTTGCTGCAGTGTTTCTTCGTTCTTTTGTATAGGTGTTGTGAGCTCCTGTATGTTTTCTACAATTTATGATAATATAGCTTTCATTTTTACGATGCTAGTTGATAAAGTTTGCAATATTAGAAACAGCCAGTAGGCCTACATTAACCCTTCCAATACTCTTCCAGTGCTTCAAGTACTGAGTAACAAAATGGATAGTAAGATAATAAATACACACACACACACACACATAAAAATATATATATATATATATATATATATATATATATATATATATATATATATATTATATATATATATATATATATATATATATATATATATATATATATATATATATAATATATATATATATATATATAAAATATATATATATATATATATATATATGCAAGGAATTCGCGAGAGCATGCGAAATATACACAACACTGATCTCTGGCTGAAGGAGACTCGAACCTACGAACCTTAGGACAAGGTACGCAGTGCTTTACCAATCTACCCACACTGGACCAATCCTTGGCGTGTAGCACGTTTGATCCAAGGCAGCCAGCTTTCAGGGCTTACAGCTTTTCATCTCATCCCCTGCATGCATCAGCCTTACTAGAGATTTGAACAATCAGTGTTTGTGTATATTTCGCATGCTCTCGCGAATTCCTTGCATTGTTCAAATCTCTAGTAAGGCTGATGCATGCAGGGGATGAGATGAAAAGCTGTAAGCCTTCTCCCTGAAAGCTGGCTGCCTTGGATCAAACGTGTAGCTCATGCTACACGCCAAGGTATTGGTCCAGTGTGGGTAGATTGGTAAAGCACTGCGTACCTTGTCCTAAGGTTCGTAGGTTCGAGTCTCCTTCAGCCAGAGATCAGTGTTTATATATATATATATATATATAATATATATATATATATATATATATATATATATAATATATATATATATATTATATATATATATATATATATAAAGCAAATATCGCAAACCAAGCGATACAGGATGCAAAACAATCACTGAGGGAGTAGAATGAAAGCTCTAGGCCTTTCGTGTTGCAATCAACAAATCATCAGGAGCTTGTAAAATTGCAGAAAAGGGGAGGATGTCCAGCAATAACGTTCCCAGAGGACCATCTTTACAGTAACGACGGTCCTCTGGGAACGTTATTTGCTGGACACTCTCCTCTTTTCTGCAATTTTGCAAGCTCCTGATGATTTGTTGATTGCAACACGAAAGGCCTAGAGCTTTCATTCTACTCCCCCCGTGGTTGTTTTGCACATTATAGGTAGTAGGTTGGTAGACAGCAACCACCCAGGGAAGTACTACCGTCCTGCCAGATGACTGTGAAACAAAAACCTGTAACTGTTTTGCATGATGGTAGGATTGCTGGTTTCTTTTTCTGTCTCATAAACACGCTAAGATAACAGGGATATCTTGCTACTCCTACTTACACTTTGGTCACACTTCACAGACACGCACATGCATATATATATATACATACATCTAGGTTTTTCTCCTTTTTCTAAATAGCTCTTGTTCTTTTTTATTTCTTCTATTGTCCATGGGGAAGTGGAAAAGAATCTTTCCTCCGTAAGCCATGCGTGTCGTATGAGGCGACTAAAATGCCGGGAGCAATGGGCTAGTAACCCCTTCTCCTGTATACAATTACTAAAAAGAGAAGAAGAAAACTTTATAAAACTGGGTTGCTTAAATGTGCGTGGATGTAGTGCGGATGACAAGAAACAGATGATTGCTGATGTTATGAATGAAAAGAAGTTGGATGTCCTGGCCCTAAGCGAAACAAGCTGAAGGGGTAGGAGAGTTTCAGTGGGGGGAAATAAATGGGATTAAATCTGGAGTATCTGAGAGAGTTAGAGCAAAGGAAGGGGTAGCAGTAATGTTAAATGATCAGTTATGGAAGGAGAAAAGAGAATATGAATGTGTAAATTCAAGAATTATGTGGATTAAAGTAAAGGTTGGATGCGAGAAGTGGGTCATAATAAGCGTGTATGCACCTGGAGAAGAGAGGAATGCAGAGGAGAGAGAGAGATTTTGGGAGATGTTAAGTGAATGTATAGGAGCCTTTGAACCAAGTGAGAGAGTAATTGTGGTAGGGGACTTGAATGCTAAAGTAGGAGAAACTTTTAGAGAGGGTGTGGTAGGTAAGTTTGGGTGCCAGGTGTAAATGATAATGGGAGCCCTTTGATTGAACTTTGTATAGAAAGGGGTTTTTATAGGTAATACATATTTTAAGAAAAAGAGGATAAATAAGTATACACGATATGATGTAGGGCGAAATGACAGTAGTTTGTTGGATTATGTATTGGTAGATAAAGACTGTTGAGTAGACTTCAGGATGTACATGTTATAGAGGGGCCACAGATATATCAGATCACTTTCTAGTTGTAGCTACACGAGAGTAAAAGGTAGATGGGATACAAGGAGAATAGAAGCATCAGGAAAGAGAGAGGTGAAGGTTTATAAACTAAAAGAGGAGGCAGTTAGGGTAAGATATAAACAGCTATTGGAGGATAGATGGGCTAATGAGAGCATAGGCAATGGGGTCGAAGAGGTATGGGGTAGGTTTAAAAATGTAGTGTTAGAGTGTTCAGCAGAAGTTTGTGGTTACAGGAAAGTGGGTGCAGGAGGAAGAGGAGCGATTGGTGGAATGATGATGTAAAGAGAGTAGTAAGGGAGAAAAAGATTAGCATATGAGAATTTTTTTACAAAGTAGAAGTGATGCAAGGAGGGAAGAGTATATGGAGAAAAAGAGAGAAGTTAAGAGAGTGGTGAAGCAATGTAAAAAGAGAGCAAATGAGAGAGTGGGTGAGATGTTATCAACAAATTTTGTTGAAAATAAGAAAAAGTTTTGGAGTGAGATTAACAAGTTAAGAAAGCCTAGAGAACAAATGGATTTGTCAGTTAAAAATAGGAGAGAGAGTTAATTAAATGGAGAGGTAGAAGGTATGGAAGATGGAAGGAATATTTGAGGAATTGTTAAATGTTGATGAGATAGGGAAGCTGTGATTTCGTGTATGGGCAAGGAGGAATAACATCTTGTAGGAGTGAGGAAGAGCCAGTTGTGAGTGTGGGGGAAGTTCGTGAGGCAGTAGGTAAAATGAAAG